AAACGAGAGGAGGCCATTCGGCCCATCGAGCTCGCTTGGGGAGAACTTAACTAATAGCTCAGAGTTGTTAAAATCTTATCTAACTCTGATTTAAAAGCTTCTGGAGGACAATTCTGTGCCCTCAACAAGCTCGCGGATCAGCTTCTATCCTCAAATTTCTACAAAAGTCCCTTTTGCACCACTCTGGTCTCCCTGTCAGCAGAGGGATGTTTTGAATGAAAGTTGAAAGCTGGCCAATAAATCCTCTGATGCTTCCAGGCAGAGACATCAATCTGGAGGGCAGCTGACCTCGGCACCCATAAGACCTGCACCTTTAAAAGCAGGTGGTTTCCCGGCACAGCGAGTCAGGGCCACCATCTCCCACAGGAAGATCAGAGCCCAAAACCTGAATCAGAAGCTTATTGTCATGCAACCCAGGCTGGTAGAAAATTAGATGGTACAGCTTGCTACTGTTAGGGACATGATTGTAGGCAATTAACTATTATGGGCAGAAATTAAATACAGGACACAAAATGCACAATGGAAAAATGTGATTTTGCGGGTTTGTGCAGATTAACGTGGTAGAACATCAGAAAATAAATTTGAAAGAATACATGATCCTGCACCCCACGGACAACGATGACACGCCTGAGCACTGTGGTAGCCCAGCTCCCAAGACAACATGGCCGCCTGAGCCATGGGGCAGGACACAGCCACCGGGGGGCGCTATCTGAGGTTAAGAGGTGTGACAGAGCACGGAGTTGAAGGGAAAGCAGAGGATACCAGCTCCACTTCTGGGGAGAGATTTCTCTGCATCCCATCTGTTCCTCAGTCACTGGAGAAGGCATTATGGGGCAACCCTGAGCTACAGACCTGTCCGTCAAGCTATCCAGGGAGGACCCTGTCCGACCTTTGGCCCGCGACTAGATGCCTAAGCATCAAACAGGGAAAAATGAAATCCAAAACAGTAGTCATCATTTTCGCTTTCCCATCTTGACGACGCCCTTACTCATTATGATGGCTGACGACACAAACTGTTAGCATGAGCCAACACAGCTGGTGCCAAGACACATGACATTAAGGATGGACTGTACCAAGTGGGGGGGGGGGAAGGGACATTACCCCATAGGAATAATTTATGTACGACAGCTCAATTGGATTTACAGAAACAACTGCAATCATTTTTTAGAAAGAAACTAAAATGAAACGCAAGTCATACTGGGGATATGCACCAAAATCAGCTACATAGCAGTGCTTTGGACTGCTTTTCTCAGACAGGAACCCTGGTCTCAAAAACGTGGTTATATACCAATTAGGACCCTATAACCCATCGCAATCCCACTACGCCAATGCAGGTAACTCAGCCCTGCCGCGAGCACCAGTGACATTCTCTAAGGACTTATTGATCTCTATTGCAAAAGTAATTCATCACCCCCCACTGGTTACGCTCCAATTCCTTTAACAAAACATGGTGATCAGCACTTTGGGCTCTCTCACCTCATTACAAGCACATTTCCCAAACTTTCTCTCCTCCAAGTCGGCATGTTGGACAGGAGAAAATCACAGAGGATGAAAACCGCCGCAAAGAATGTGTCAGCGAGTCGAACAGACCAAGAACGAGGAGTCAACCCCAAGCGGGGGCCTGTTTGTCGGGAATCTCCTTGCGGCAGCGGCGGCGTCAGGCTCCTCTCTTGGGGTCACCACCCACCCCCACAGCCCCCACGAGCATATCTTCCCACCCATTTATAAGGCTTTTTTAACTCCAAGCGTGAGACTCATTATTCCACAAAGTCAACATCGCCATTTACCGAAACCTTGGATTTAACGTGACCACCCAAAGCATGGCAGAAGCCAGAAAAACATCTTTAAAACCCGTAATCCATCAGGAGCTACAATTAAAATCTCTTCAGCTGAAAAATATTAACACATTTGCACACGTCAGTTGCTGAAATACAGGTCGCCATGCAGATAAGTTAATTATGATGTTAGTCAAATTTGTCTGTCCAACCTAAGAAAATGTGAACAAAAGATGGAGAACAACATGAGCAACAGTTTCCAGTAGCGAACCGATAATAGTGTTTGGGGGACCTGGTGAACCATTCAGTCATCTGAAGGCGTATCACCATGGATTACCTTGAAAGAAATCAGCAATGGCCTTTTCATGATACACACTTCATGGAGAAATTACATGTTGGGTTTACATAGTATTATAATTACTGTTATTATAACAACAACACTCTTATTCTCATTAATAATAATAATAATAACAATAACAATAAAATTATCCCACCATAAGGGCCCAGAAAAGGGCCCACAATCATCAATAACTTGACGAACTGACCATTTCTCAAGTGTCAGGAACTCGAC